GCTTAGATGAAATCTCATACTGTAAAGAAGAGACAAGAGAAGGAAGGCCAGGCTATGGGCCCCAGAGGAGAGGGGCTCCTGCTGTTTCCTGAGATAAATTATGCTGGAGCCCCTGTTACAGCTCCTGGCCCTCCTTATTAAAAGGACAACTCTCCATCCACTCCCACCCATCTTCCTCTCCTCTTTCTGTAAGAGCAGCAGGCACGGGTCGATGAGTCCCTACACCTGCCAGGCCTTTGCAGGCAGTGGTATTAGGCCCAGCCTGCTCAGTTCCTAGGAAATTGAACAAGCATCTATGGAGTGCTCACTCCATGTCAGGCTCTGCCACCAGCACCCTGGAGACAGAAGACCAAGACATGCTTCCCAGCCAAGGGGAGGGTGGAACCTTAGCACACGATGCATTGAGAGCTCGGGATGTATCCAACCCAAAGTGCAGGGGAGCTCTCACTGTGTGGGTGGGATCTTCAGTGCAGCTTGCTGTGGAGGCTGCTCTACTGTTTTCCCATCAAGTGTGGTGGGCAAGGGCACAGACTGGACACTCAGAGCTACCAGGGTAAGGAAGTGCTCTTCTATCCCTCATCTGCTAGGAGAACTGTTTAAAAGATGGGATTTATTTTTTTTTTAGATGGAGTTCTTGCTCTGTCACCCAGGCTGGAGTGCAGTGGCTCACTGCAACCTCTGCCTCCTGGGATCAAGCAATTCTGCCTCAGCCTCCTGAGCAGCCGAGATTAGATGCCTGTCACCACACCCAGCTAATTTTTGTATTTTTAATAGAGACAGGGTATGGCCAGGCTGGTCTCCAACTCTTGACCTCAAGTGATCCACTCGCCTCAGCCTCCCAAAGTGCTGGGATTACGGGCGTGAGCCACTGCACCCTGCTTTTTATTTTTTTGAGATGGAGTCTTGCTCTGTTGCCCAGGCTGGAGTGCAGTGGCATAATATCGGCTCACTGCAAACTCTGCCTGCTGGGTTCAAGTGATTCCCCTGCCTCAGCCTCCTGAGTAGCTGGGACTACAGGCATGAGCCACCATGCCTGGCCAGGAAGTGCCCTTCTATCCCTCATCTGCGAAGAGCACTATCTAAAAGATGGGCTTTAGGTGGCCTTTTCTGCCATTTCTTTCTACTATATTCTGGTTCTTTTTCAGTAGGTAATTTTCATTCATTAGTAAATGAGCTGATTGGCTAAATTAATTACTAAACTACAAATTTAGTAATTAGTAATTTTAATAATTTCTGGTTCCCTGCTAAAATCTGTAATCTCTAATAAGCCTGCTATCTGAGTCCCGTGTGTCTGTGTCTATTATTGTCTGTCTGTGCTAGTTTTTACACTTAGAATTTTACCTCCCTAAGAGTGTTCTTTGCAGCTATGGCGTTCATAATCATATCATCATGCCCAGCACGGAGGTGCTCAATAAATATACATTTCCAATGTCAAAAATTTTTAATGTGGTAAAACACAAAAAATTTACCATAACCATCTTAAAGTACATACTTCAGTGTAAGTACATTCATATTTTTGTGCAGCCAAAGTCTGGAACTCACTAAACCCTGCCAAACTGAAACTCTGTCCCCATTAAATAAGCCATTACTGGCTCTCCCAGCTCCTGGCCACCACCACTCTACTTTCTGTCTCTGTGAATCTGATTACTCTAGGTCCTTCCCATAAGTGGAATCATATAGTATTTCTCTTTTTGTGACTGCCTTATTTCACTTTGCATAACCTCCTCAAGGTTCATCCATGTGCTAGCATGTGTCAGAATTTCCTTATTTTTTAAGGCTGAATAATGTTTGACTGTATGGAAAGAGCACATTTGCTTGTTTATCCGTCGGTGGGCACTTGGGTTGCTGCTATCTTTTGGCTGCTAGGAATAACACTGTGCCGAGACCAGCTCAGCCGTGGAGACCCCAACTCACGTGGTGCTGAAGGAATTAAGAAACACACACAGAGACAGAGAGCAAAAGCTGGGTTCAGAGTGGAGCACCAGGGGTCTCACAGCATTTCCAGCTGAGAGTCCAGAGCAGACTCTGACCTACGTATTTATTGACTTTCCAGTGACAAGTTTTACAAGCGGATGCTCTGTGTTCTTTCATTGGTTAAAGGTAAACTAACCAGGCAGCTAGTGTGTGTTTACTATAGGTTAAAGACAAACTAGAAAGTGCTCTTTACAAGGGAACAAAGGAAAGGGTCAGGTATCCTGTGTTCAAAGAACTAATTCATCTGGCGTGAGACATATTTACATTGGTTACTGTTTTATAATGCTTTGAGCAGTTTCATGCTTTGGGGGCAGTTTTCCGCTTTGGGAGGCTCACTAGGTTTCCCTTGCCGCCGCTCTCAATAGGATTTCTCAGCAAACAATATGATTTCTCACACACGTCAGAATTTGCTCTCAACAACGCTGGTATGAACATCAATGTAATAAATGTGTGAGGCCCTTTGAATTGTAGGGGTTACATACCCAGCAGTGGAAATGCTGGATTATATGGTAATTCTTTTGAGACAGAGTCTCGCTCTGTCACCCAGGCTGGAATGCAGTGGTGCAATCTTGGCTCACTGCAACCTCTGCCTCCTGAGTTCAAGTGATTCTTATCCCTCAGCCTCCCGAGTAGCTGGGATTACAGGCCTGCACCGCCACACCTGGCTAGTTTGTGTGTTTTTAGTAGACATGGGGTTTTACCATGTTGGCCAGGCTGGTATCAAACTCCTGGCCTCAAGTGATTCACCTGCCCCAGCCTCACAGAGTGCTGGGATTACAAGTGTCAGCCACCGTGCCTGGCCTATTTTTAACTTTTTGATGAATTGCTATACTGTTTTCCATAGCTGAAGCTCCATTTTAAACTCCCAGTAAGGTACACCAGGGTTCCAGCTGCTCAGCGTCCTCGCTAACACTCGGTATTTTCTGTATTGATTACAGCCATCCTAATGAGTCTGAGGTGGCCTCTCCATGTAGGTCTTCTTTTTTCTTTTTTTGAGACAGAGTCTCGCTTTGTCACCCAGGCTCAAGTTTAGTGGTGTAATCTTGGCTCACTGCAACCTCTGCCTCCCAGGTTCAAGTAATTCTTCTGTCTCAGCCTCCTGAGCATCTGGGACTTGAGGCACATGCCACCACATGCAGCTGATTTTTCTATTTTTAGTAGAGATGTGATGTTACCATGTCAGCCAGGCTGGTTTCAAACTCCTGACCTCAAGTGATCTGCCCACCTTGGCCTTTCAGAGTGCTGGGATTACAGGAGTGAGCTACCATGCCCAGCCTCTCCATGTGGTTTTGGTTTGTTTCCCTAATAATTAATGATGGTGAGCATCTTTTTATGTGCCAATTGGCCATTTGCATCTCTTATTTGGTGGACTTTCTATTCACGTCCTGTGCACATTTTTGAACTGTGTTAGTTTTTGTTGTTGCATTGTGAGAGTGCTTTATCTATTCTAGATGGGAACTCTGTCACATGTAATTTGCACCTCTGTCCTGTCATTCTGCAGGTTGCCTTTTCACTCTGTTAATAGTATCCTTCGATGTAATCCAATTTGTCTACTTTTCGTTTTGTTGTTTGGGCCTTTGGTGTCATATCCAAGAAATCATTGCCAAAGGAAGCTCTCCTTCTATGTTTTAAGAGTTGTCGGCTGGGAACAGTGCCTCAAGCCTATACTCCCAGCACATTGGGAGGCCAAAGTGGGTGAATCATGAGGTCAGGAGTTCAAGACCAGCCTGACCAAGATGCTCTGTCTCTACTAAAGATACAAAAATTTGCTAGGCGTGGTGGTGGGCGCCTCTAATCCCAGCTACTTGGCAGGCTGAGGCAGAGAGTTGCTTGAACCCAGGAGCTGGAGGTTGCAGTGAGCCGAGATCACGCCACTGCACTCCAGCCTGGGTGACAGAGCAAGACTCCATCTCAAAAAAACAAGAATTGTATAGTTTTAGATCTTACACTTGGGTCTTTCATTATTGAGGTTTTCTTTTTCTTTTTCTTTTTTTTTAACATGATATAAGGTAAGGCTTTAACTTCATTCTTTTGCCTGTGGATATCTAGTTTTCCCACACCATTTGCTGAAAGACTGTCCCTTCCCTGATTGAAAAGTCTTGGCATCCTTATTGAACTCATTTGATCGTATGTTTAAGAGTTTCCTTCTGCACTTTGTATTCCATTCCACTGGTCTCTCTGTAGGTATTTACTGTTGTACCACACTTTCGACCACTGTAGTTTTTTTTTTTTTTTTTTTT